AAATCACGCAGCTAATAGGTACTGACTAAGTGTACTGACTCAATTAGCTTCAACATAATAAGAAGGAAATATTCAATAATGCACAGTTTATTTCGATGTTCTGAATGTGTTCCTTAAGTAATCTGTTTGACCAGCTTATCCAATGCTATCTGTGTGATCGGTAACCTAAAGAAGAGAAATGTTTAACCACGTTGGCATCTCAAATACAGTTACGTTTCAGCTTAAAACTGTCAAAGATAAAATATTATACCAAACTCAAGATCTTTAAAGCATATATACATTCCAATTCAATATATTATCCACTTCAAGGGAAACCAAAGCAATAATTTCCGCTTAAAAGAGTCTACAATGATGAAGAAGTCTATTATATTTGTTTATATCTAGTTTCGAGAATAAAACTTCACTATCTATCTATCCCATTACCTGGCGACTTTATACTTACCTAATACTCGTGGGATATCATATGGATACGTCTAATGAACAAACTAAAGGGGATGATGCTACCCTTATCGCATCAAACACTACTGCTGTCGGGCAGGGAATTAACAACGACCAGTCGACTGTTGTGTCACAGGTCAGTGAACCTTTTGAAGATGGTGCTGTTGGGCACATCTGCAAAAATATACACGCTGTGGAAAATGTTGTTTTTCCACAGTATACTGATGCTAGCAGCACAGAAACTGAAGGGTCTGATGCTGCCTCTATTGACATTGACGGAGTCAGTCTCTGTTCTCAACAGTCAGGTGCTACTGTTGTCAATGTTTGTATGAAAGGGATCAGTTTACATGACCAGAAGGGTTTTGTGAAACTGAACTCAATGCAGAAGAGGAGGTTAAAGGCTTACATGAGTCAGGGACACTCTAGGGATGTGGCCCTAGACATGGTTTCTAAACTTCCAACTCGTGCGCCAGCTAAAAGGGCTTTATCTGACGACATGGTCATGCCAGCTGGTAAGAAACCAAAACAAAACACCTCGATTCAGGGATCGAGTAAACCCTCTTTCAGCCAAGTAGCCAGTCAAGCCAAGGGGATCAAATTAGGATTTGTTCCTTTTGATTTGGCTAAGTGCCCCCTAAACAGGGAACAGACTGCACAGCTACAGGAGGCTATAATTGAGACTGCCATAGAGTTGGCGTCTGACGAGGTTAAACCAGAATTTGAAGGTTGTTTCCCTCGTACGGGATGGCTCATGAAGGTGTGCACAAATAACCAAACGGCTGAATGGGTCCGTAAAAATGCGGCAGCTATTGCAACAAAGGCTAAACTGGGCGCCAAAGTGGTTGAAGAGTCGGAGTTTCCAAAAACACATCTGGTGCGAGGATACTTCCCACACAGTTGCGATTTTGAAAATACCAAGGTTCTTGCCACAATTGAGGCCCAGAACAGGATTAAAGCAAGCACCTGGAAGGTATTACAGCGGACCGCAGAAGGTTCACTGCTCCACATCGTCTTTGCTGTCGACGATGCATCCTGGAACTCACTGGTCCAGAGTGGAGGTAGAATTGCATATCGCTTCAGCCATGTCAAGCTACTGCTTAAAACTAACAGTATGACAAAGGAGGGGCAGCCAGAACAACGGCCTGTGGAACAAAAGGTTCCAAATAAACTCCAGATCACAAGGACGGAGAAACAGAAAGTGGAGCACGTGGTCCCACAATCAACACTTACGTCTATTGTGAATCCAAATGAGGCCCCAACTACTAGTAGAGCCGCCATTCAAAAAAGGCTTTGGATGCGGCCACCTGTGGGTGGAGCATCAACAACTCCAAAAGAGCGCCAGAAGGAAAAAGGGCCACGAAGAGCTCGACTTCAAAAGGAAGTCGAACGCTCTCTCAATAAAACTCAACAAAAATGAGCACCATAGGGGTGTTACAGGCGAACCTGCACCACGCGAAAGGAGCATCGGCTACCTTGTGCAGGACCTTCGCCACAAAAGGACTGGCCATAGCGCTTATCCAGGAGCCATGGACAGTCGGTGGGCATATAAAAGGCCTTCAACATCAATCAAGTTGATATATAAACGTGACATAGAGTCGCCTAGAACTGCTATACTAGTAAACAAAAATGTTAACTGTATTCCAATTCCAGATTTCATCCAGAGGGACTTGGTGTCGGCCATTTTTGAGATCCCGACGGAGTGCGGAACACGAGAGATCGTGATCGCATCGGCCTACTTTCCAGGCGATGCAGATGAAGCACCACCTGAAGCAGTCACAAACTTGGTAAGTTATTGCAAATCCAATAATTTACAATTTATAATTGGTTGCGACGCAAACGCGCACCATACCTTATGGGGTAGCACTAACATAAATAGAAGAGGGCAAATGCTTTTAGAATACTTTAGTAGTAATAACGTCAGCATATTGAACAATGGTTCTGAACCCACTTTTATTAATGCCATTAGAAGAGAGGTTCTTGACCTTACTCTTACTAGTCAATTTATCTCCAATTATGTTGTTAATTGGAGGGTCTCAAAGGAGGTTTCTTTATCTGACCACCAACATATTCTCTTTGAACTGCCGGGTCACTTTTTACATAAAAATTTGCCAGCTGCACGTAAGTGTATCAACTGGGAAATCTTTAGACTATCCTTAGCTAGTAAGGAGGACCAGTTACTGAATTCAATCAGTCATATTGATGAACTTGAATTAGCTGCAGATCAAATAAACTCTGTTATCTCTCAGGCGCATGAAGATGCATGTAAGGTTGAACCAAGTACATCCAGACGGGATGTGCCATGGTGGAACAAAAGGCTCGAAGAAATGCGCAGGGAGGTTAGGAAGCTTTTTAATTTAGCAAAGCGATCAGAGGTGTGGGTCGACTATAAAACATCCTTGACTGCCTACAACAATGAGATTAGAAAATCTAAACGGAAATCATGGAAAACTTTCTGTGACGGTGTTGACAACACTCCGCAAATGGCTCGCCTTCATAAAGTGTTGAGAAAGTCTCTTTCAAATGACATTGGTCTATTGAAAAAGAATGATGGTCTCTACACAGCAAATGGCAGGGAAACTTTACAACATTTACTACATGTGCACTTTCCAGGATCGATCTTATGTGATGCATCCATAGATAGGCGCACGTTAAGTTATGAACAACCAGACAATCGTTTAATGTCGCTATCTGGTATCATTTTTGACATTGATAAAATCAGATGGGCAGTTAATTCTTTCAGTCCTTTCAAGTCACCAGGAAGTGATGGTATCTTCCCGGCACTTATACAAAACGGCATAGACGTTCTTATCAATCCTTTAAAGGTGATTTTTAGGGCTAGCCTATGCTGGAAACATATACCTGAAGCTTGGAGAGAAGTGAAAGTGGTATTTATACCAAAAAATGGTAATAGACCAAGTGATGACGCTAAATCGTATAGACCGATTAGTCTCTCATCCTTCCTCCTGAAAACTATGGAAAGACTCATAGATATCTATATTCGTACAGAACTGTCTAAAAGTCAACCTCTTCACAAAACTCAATTCGCTTATTCCAAAGGGAAATCTACCGAATTGGCCTTACATAACTTGGTCAGTAGAATTGAAAAGGCCCACAAAAACAAAGAAATTGCGCTTTGTGCATTTCTGGATATTGAAGGAGCTTTCGACAATACGAGTTATGGCTCGATCTCGAATGCCTTAACTAACAGAAATGTTGATTTTAATGTTATTTCCTGGATTGAGGCGATGCTTCAAAGCAGAAAAATTACATCAACCTTAGGTAGAACGTCTGTAGCTGTTGAGGCCGCAAAAGGTTGCCCACAGGGTGGAGTACTGTCTCCTTTGCTCTGGTCAGTGGTTGTTGATGAACTTTTAATCTTGTTGGAGAATATTGGTTGTGACGCCATTGGGTATGCAGACGATCTAGTTATAATAGTATCTGGAAAGCATGGTAGCAGTCTATCAGAGATCTTGGTAGGGCACCTTCGACGCATTTTAGCGTGGTGCGAAAGTGAGGGTCTCTCCATAAATCCGGAGAAAACTGTTGTTGTGCCTTTCACACTCAAACGTAAACTAGACATAGGTCCCGTACGTTTAGGAAACACTAATATTTCTCTTTCCAGTGAAACAAAGTACCTAGGTGTTGTCCTAGATGGTAAACTCACTTGGAGTTCACACTTAAATAAAGTATATAACAAAGCATTAACGGCTTTATGGACAATACGGTCCTGTATAGGTAAAACTTGGGGCCTAAACCCAAAGATTATATTTTGGATATATCAGGCAGTAGTACGTCCTATCATGACATATGGTTGCCTGGTTTGGTGGCAAAAGGTCACACAGGCTGGATCTATTGCTGTTTGCATGAAGCTCCAGAGATTAGCGTGTCTCTTAATGACTGGTGCTATGAGGACAAGTCCAACTGCAGCACTTGAGGCTATACTTGGATTGACACCTCTGCACATACACATTCAATCTACGGCTGCGCTTAGTGCGCTTCGACTAAAACTCCACATGAACAAGAGTTGTCTTGACTATGGTCATACAACAATATTAAAAATATTTGGAGCACATAAAATTCCTCAATGCGATGGAGACTATACAACAGAACTCCATCGTTTTGGCAAAAAATTTGAGGTACACCTACCATCACGTTCAACGTGGGAGAATGGAGGCCCACAGGTTGACCCAAAAAGTTTGGTTTGGTACACAGATGGATCAAAGATGGATGAAGGCACTGGCGCTGGTGTATTTGGACCCAACACCAGCATTTCGGAAGCAATGGGCACATGGCCGAGTGTCTTCCAAGCTGAAATCCACGCAATCAACTTATGCGTAAGATCCAATTTAATCAAAAAACCTTCTGGCTCGAAAATTGTTATTTACTCTGACAGCCAGGCTGCTCTTAAAGCTCTTTCTTCTTGGACTTTCAAATCAAAACAGGTCCTTGAGTGTTACGATCTTCTGCAATCACTTGCAGCTCGGAATAAAGTAAACCTTTACTGGGTTCCGGGCCACAGAGGAGTTTTGGGAAATGAAAAAGCTGATGAGCTTGCCAGAACTGCATCAAAAACTGCTTTTATAGGCCCTCAACCCTTTTGTGGAATAAACTGGGCTAGTACAAAACAGATTATCAAGGAAATGGAAAATCATATGCGGCTAGAGTACTGGGTAAACTTTCCAGGACTCAGACAAAGCAAAGCACTGATAACACCTTACTCCTACAAAAACATTCTTAAATTCTCAAAATGTAATTTAAGGATGATAACGGGTTTCATTACAGGTCATTATGGTCTGAAATATCACCTTCATAAACTACAATTATCTGCTAACTCTGAATGCAGATTATGCCTCGAAGATGAGGAAACAACCATGCACATTCTTTGTGACTGTCCAGCTTTAATAACGCACAGAAGAAACCTGTTTCATAAGGAATTTCTGTCACCAGAACAGATTAAGAACTCTTCTCTAGATTTAGTTCTAGACTTTATTCACAAAGCTTTAAGGGGCTTTGTTTAATCAATAGTGAAACTGGTACAATAGGTCTCTTCTGGCCGCAGTACCGGCTGTTGGGCAATTTTCACGAATACCTTTTATTATTATTATCCCATTACCTGTCATAGAACTGCTAATATATTACATATAAAGTTAGAAAATAGTATGTGCGTCTTATGCCTAATGAAACAACTAAGTTGTTGTTTCGTTACCTGTGTAATTAAGGTAAGTATAGGTCATTCTCCTAATATTTCCCTACTTGCAAAAAAGGTGTACTTTCTCTATGGTATAATGCAGTCCATTTTAAAGGTAATTAGCAGGTTTTTGGGGATTGGCTAAAAATATAGCCGTATAACAATAGGTAAGTAAATGACAACGGAATTTAAATATATATATTAATGTTCGCAAAATCATTTGATTTGGACCAAACCATAACACCTGTCAAATAATTGTATTAAAATAAAGCTGTATGAATGTTCATTGAAATAAGGATGTACTCAAACATTCTATTTCACAATTCCAATATAGTTGTTATGAAGAAAGTAAAAATAATCGAGCATACTTTGACACGACTTTGCTACATTGGATCCCACTCAAATTATTAATAATTCTAAAGTGAGCGCATAGGATCTCTGCAAGTAGCGTAAAACCTTGGATATCCCTTGTTTAGATTGCATCTATTTGTAGCCATGTGTATGTATTTTTCATTTGAAAGATAAAAGAAAACATTTAATGTGCATTTTTTGCTGTGAAGTACATAAAATCAAGATGTGGCTACCTGCGCTGTACGGGCTTTTCTTCAGTATAAAAATCTGAGTCAGGTAGTCTAAAAAGGACTATGTGAATTCATTAAAAAGTAGTGGAAAATGATTTTTTAAAAACTCGGATAAATATGATTTTAATGCTCCGTTGTTAAAAATTTAAAGACCTTCACAAATATTTTTCCGGCTTTCACTTTTTGAACATTATTCTATTTGTATGATAAATAATTTTGATAATAATAAATAATTTAAAAACTAGAATCATCATCAGAATCGGTTCCATCTTCTCCAGTATCAGCATATGTTCCTACAAAACTTATCTCACTAGTCTACGCAATTGGTAACTTCGCTCTATAACATCCATATTATTCCTATGTCCTCAAGTGCACTGCTTAAAAACTTTTCAACTACGATGAGGTCCAAAAAGTTTTGGTACATCATTTACCTAATACGCGGACGGACAGACTAGTTTCAAGCACTTTTGTTTGACCAGGAACGAAGCCTTATTATAATTAATATTATTTAAAAATTGTCTCAATACTCTCTTTTACCAGGCGAACAGAATTCAAGAAATATCTTGCATACCAAATCCATTTTCCTGCCAGAGCGTATGACAATTTTCACTGTAGGCGATGTGAGTGTGAGAGCTTTCAATCAAGGTGACCATCTGCACATTTGCACGAATACAAAGGCACACATACAATCCACACATTTCGTCAATTTCGAATAAAGTTAATTCACAGAATTAAGCTTTCGTAAGCTTTCAAATTTTCCAAAGCGAAATGAACGAAGCAATTTCATACGCAAATGAAATTAATTAATAAATTAAAAATCACTGTATATATTATTTCTCAACCCATCTTGGAAAATCCTTAGTCACTAGTTACAACGTCACCACCCAACATATATAAAAAAAAGACTTTGTCTGTTTAAATAAAATTTAATCAACCAATATTCACTTGTCAAAATACTTAAACCTATACAGAAAATATATTTAATATATATAATTATTTATATAAAATGTTTTTGTATATTTAACACAAGTTATTAGAAAACGCGATAGGAAATGCCTCGTAATCGAAACAGTATGTTCGGAGGTTTCTTAAATCACTTTGCACAAATCGTCACATGCACTGCATGCGTTCAGCAAAGTTCTTTAAATTGTTTTTTATTAAAATGCTGTCCAATATTTGATTTACTTATCTTATCTAGCGATTTGAAATTAAATTTATTACATTACATAAAACATAACACAATAATTAGTCATACAAACCTATACATAGTTCTGGACACTAATGTAGCACATTTATAATTTTCAAACCTTTACTTACACCCTATATACATCGCTTGTGGTACATACGAGTAAATATTGAACTTATATCTATCTCTATCCGAATTTCTTAACATTTGTACTGCAAACTGCAACCGTTTTATAATCTAAATGCACAAAACTAATCTACATAGAAATTGAGAAAAGTCTGGGTCAGTGGTCAGTGGTCAGTAAATAAAACGAATATTTTTGGATTAGGTCAAATTTTGCTGTGCTGTTGTTGTTGTGGCTGCTGTTGTTGGAACGTCATTGTTTCCATACAAATAATTATTACTATTGGGTGTGGTGAAGAGCAACGTATTAACGGATGGCAGCATCTGATTCGACTGCATCATGAAGGGCATGCTGACGGTCATCGGCAAGTAAAGTTGGTTCAGTAATAGCTGACTCGTTTGAGTTGATGTATGATGTGACGGCAATTGTTCGTCCTCGAATTGCATGGATGGCAATTGTGGCAACAATGGAGAATCGATATTTACGTTTGAAATTGAGGCTGCGTTGTCCATATCGTTTTGTAATTTTATAGGTACCACGTTTGAGTTATTTACTGCCACTGTAGAAGGTAGGAAGAACAAGTTGCCGTTTGGGATTTCAGATTGAAATGGCGGACAAGTCAAAGGTAGCTTCGTTGAAGATAACTCAATTGAAGCCGGCGACGAAAACGGTGATGATTCCAATGAAGAGCAGATAAGACGTTGATTTGCTCCATTTAATAAAACTATGGTTACAAATGTTATGATATTAGTAATAGTTACTAGTTACAATGTATTCAACTTTAAAATTACTTACAATTTTCTTCACGCTTTATTTCGTTTGCTGATATTTCTCGTTTTATTTTGAAGTGCATTTCGGCTGCAGTTTCAGCAGAAATAGCGTTGTCCGTATCGACCACAGGCGATTCATATAAGCCGCACTCCTCCATTTGCAGGGCTTGTTCCATTATGAATTCCTCAGCTGAGGTTATGCTTAACGTGTGCAGGTCAGGAAATCCACAATTATCAACGATTTCGCGTTTTATATTATTCGTGGTTGCTGGCGCTTCTGTAGCTTTTTCTTCGACTGGTGCCTCCTGCACTTGTTTCGGTGTTAATTGCTTTCTTTCGCGTTTTGACTTTTGCATTACAGAGTCCACGTTTTCTCCGGCAATTTCAGTTTTTTTATCAGTGTTTTGCGTTATATCGAGACAATTCTTTTCGTTTTTTTGTTTATCGTTTGCTGCTTGAACGCGTTTGTTATTATTACGTTTTATTTGTGGTTTTGTAACAACTTCCTTATCTGCTTCGTTAGGCTTAGGTGCAATCTTAGGCGGCGCGGCAGGTTTTGTCGCTGCTTTTGTAGATTTTTTGGAACAATATGAAGGAATGTTTTCCAAATGCTCGCCGGTCTTATGATCGACTTTATGGCGTCGACGGGTGTGCTTTAACCAATTAGGAAAGTTTGTAAAATCTCGTGGGCAATAGTTGCACTTGAACGGCCGTTCACCTGTATGTATATTTGAATGTTGCTTCAGCTTGGAATTACTAATGAAAGATTTATCACAAACTTTGCACGCAAACGGCCGTTGCTCCAAATGCACTAGATTGTGAACTTTAAGACACCGTTCCGTTTTGTACATTTTACCACATTTATCGCAACGAAAGGAACGTATTTGTGCGTGGTACTTTTGGTGACGTTGCAAGTGAGATCGTTCCTGGAATCTGGAATTTCAAACATGACATTATACAGAGTTAAATTTATATGCACAATGAATTATGTACCTTTTCTGACATTCTGGACATTCGTAGGGTTTTTCAGCTGTGTGCATGCGTGAATGGTGTGTGAGATTAATTTTCTGCACGAATTTTTGGCCACAAATATCACAGCCGTATTGCTTGTTTTCACTATGAATTTTTCGATGCATCCACATGCTGCCATGCTTAAGACTAACGATAACAATATTAATGAATACTGGTATTAACTTGATTAATTTTTGAGTAAGACTTACCACTTGCCGCATTCGGGGCATATCTTCCAGGTATCTTTGCGTCCATCTGTAGGTCGGTGAGATTTGAAATGTTTCTTGAGTCCAACTTCCTGTTCAAATTCGCGGTTGCATTCGCTGCAAACAAATTTTATACGATGTTTGGCAATATAATGCGTAACATAGTCCTGACGGTCTTTCAGAAAAATAGAATTGCAGTCCAAACATTTAAAGCGCGTGGTTGGAGCTATATATACAGTAGATTCTTGATTTTGGGTGCCCACTGTCGTGGTCGTCGTCGCCGTTGTTGTAGAGACATTTGTAGTGCTACGCGAACACTGAATTGGTTCAGAGCTTGTACTGGAATTTGAGATCGCTTTACTTTTAATGACTAACTTAGCAGCAGCCTCTTGGTCAATTGGCTCCTCCTTAATGGCAGCTGCTGTCTTTGTTGTTTTACAATCGAATTGAGATCCAATCTGATCTTTGATTTTAAATTGTCGAAAGTCTGGTGGACTTTTAACCACTGCCTTTTTAATTGGCGAAAATAGTAATGAACTAGGCGGCTCTGGTCTCACAAAAGTCCCACTAAATGAATTTGGCTGATCATTTTTCACCTTACCCAAGCCATTTGTTAAACTTTTCATAGATGAACAAGAATTAGTAGCATCTCTATCTTGACAAAATTCACGTAAACTTGAGGAATCATGATTACTCATTAGCACATCGTCGAGCTCAGAATTGCGTGCGCTTTCGTCCAGTACACGCCAAAAATCCGATGACGACAGACTGCTACCATTTATTAATCCATCGGCATTAATCGTAACACATGCAGATATATCAATGTCCAGCGATTCATCTTTAATTGAATCGAAATTGTTGTGACGATAAAGTGCACTCAGTATTTCGTCGTTGGACTTTTTAGGCGGCACTTTTTTATTTCGCGCCTCTTCTTTCATTTTGTCATTTACTTTTCTTACACTTTTCATATAAGGTTAGGTATTTTATAAAAGTACAATTTGTTCAGTTATTGATAACGTTAAACAATTATTAAATCACTTCCGAATACGTTGCTTAAGCACATCACACACGACACAAAATTTATAACAAATTATTTTGCTGATAAATTGTAAAAAATATGAAATTATATGAAATGACGCTCGCTTTGTTTTTCTATCTCCCTTTTTCACAAATAAACGCACATCCATACTAAACGCATAGTTCGCTTCGCTAAAGTAAATAAAGCAAAACTCATGAATGATGTTCGAATTTCGAACTTATTTATTTGGAATATTTAAGTTATGCAGAAAGATATCTTAATTCTTACTACACTGATAATTTTTAATAATTAATTAATAGTATATTATAGAATATATATGTGTTATACAATTTGTTTATATGTTTTTAATCAGCATTTATCTATGAATGATGTAATTAAATTTTTAATTTCGAATTTCTGTTTATTTTGCAACCCTGTAAAGCAAGTCAAAGGCTAAATGCAAGAAAGAGAGGTCAAAACAAAATTAAAAGCATTATAAAATGCCGGACAAGTAAAGATGTTGCCAGAAGAGTTTACCAGAAGATATCATTAATTATTTTCTGTTATATAAACCTATGAATGAAAATAAAGATAAATACATATAACGAAATTAACATTACTGTTTTCGCTTGTATGATTTATGGAATCGTCATTAAATTGCAAAATTAGAGTGCTTTCCTGGAATCTCCAGGTTTAATAGTTATTAAATTTCAATAGTTAAAATAAGTATTATGTCTTTCAGTTTTTCCTGTATGTCGTTTTAAAATATTATTTTGTTTCGTTTATAAACAAGCAGACTCGCATTGCGGGAGTTCGCTACTAATGATTAAATATATATAAACATATGCTGCCCTACACAGAACAGAGTAGTGAAAACATTCGATAGATCAATTCAACTGCAACAGTTGCGCTGATAGAACCTTGGACGGCTAGACATTGCGGTTGGCAGTTTTATTCTGCGTAGGGCTGAGTGTATTTAGTACAATGGGAAAAAATGACTTAATGGCAACAGTTCAATTATTTATTTTCAGCGAAAATAAGTAATTTAAAATAATTGATTTCGCTTGTTTTGTCGTTCGCGAATATTGCATGTTTTTACGGCGTCGCACTAGATTGTAAACGAAGCGCTAATAAAAGAGAAGCGAAAATATTAATAATAAAAAAATTATATTAAATTATTTAAGAAATTGATAAATATCTTTTTTTTGGTAGTATATGTAGCTAAATTGAAATTACTTGTTTTTAATATCATTGGTGAACAACTTATACCATGTACAGACAGTCAAATTTCCTTAATTTCATAAAAATGAAATTAAGTTAATTTGGTAAATGTTCATACTGCCCCAAATGAACGAAATCATATGTTTTTTGTTTACAAATCAAATGTTAAAAATGACATGCTCCAAACGTCATTTGTATCTGGGAAATTTTAAAAGTTGATTATTATAACTATAAAGGATGACATTCAGTAGTTTTATTAGATTAAGGGGATTACAGGTATATGAATTATTATTTTTCAATTAATAACAGTTACAGTTCTTTCTCTATACTCAAATTTAAAAATTTGCACTACTTTGAAAATATTTTCCCGGTTTTATTAAAGTCAACCGTCACTGACATTAATTTAAACAAAAAAATGTCACTTTCATTATCTCAAGTTTATTTTTTACTTAAAATTTATTTTATATGTTGTTGCATTTGAAATGTCCCTTAATTTGTGCCATTGTTTCCATGCAATTAAGGCCATATTCCTTAATTTCGTTCTAATTTTAAAGATGAAATTTGTATGGAAAAAACAATTTAATTTCGTTGAAACGAAAGTGAAATTAAGATTTATGTGAAATTAAGGTGTGTCTGAACATATTGATACTTGCATATAATTAATTAAAAATAAGATTGTTGCTGTTGTAATTCTCTAGTGTTTAAAATATATTTCTATTAAAAAATTGTTTATTTTAAGAAAATAAATAAATAAATTTGGACTAGAAAATTGTATATATATAATTAATGAACTTCGATCAATTTTTTGTTGACGTGAAACAGTTTTCTTTTATTTAGGGAAATGGGAGTCTTCATTTTTCACTCCTAAGAGATGATTTTAGTGGGTTAATATTTTTTGATAATATTCTTATAAATGTTTGGGATAAGTATTTCAGAAACGATTAACTTCTCAAGATATAAATGTGTCGAAACTATTGTTAAACTGATCGAAGACAGTTTTAGAATGATTCTTAGTTGGAATAAAAAAAAATGTATATGTATTTGAGAAAATAAAGATGGTAAATTAAGTCTGGTTGTATATAATGAATAATAATATATAAAAAAAAATAAAAATAATAATATAATATTATTTATATATTATATATATTATTTTTTAATAAACTATTAAATTGAATTTTTAATATAACGATTTTCTTTTGTATAAATTAATTTTGGTAATGCATTTTGCTTTATTGTTAATTAGTAAAATAACATAATTTATTTAAATAAAATATTTAATACAAAATTTAAGAATAGTTTTTGTTAATTGGCACTCATATAAATAGGTTTTTTTTATAAAAGAAATATAATTTTCTACAATTCTCTAAAGAAATCTACGAATTTTTCGGTTTACCGGCTGGTATTGGTGGTGGTGGTACGTCTGGTATGTCTTTTGGCTTGTTCGAAGCGTTTTTAATGCTATCAAAACTGGGTGTCGTTGCTACTTGAGGATTGGTTTGAGTAGTTTCAAAGGTAGAATCGGTTTCCGTGGCATCCGAGGGTTCAGTGTTGATATCAGTTGGCGTAGGAGCATTTGTTGATGGTGTTTGTGTAGGTTGTGGTCCAGCAAATCCTTGCATATGATTCGGTAAGTAATCGTAGGGAGGCAAAAAGTTGTCTCTGTAACCGTAGGGGGAATTAAATCCTAATGGATTTACTGGATTAAAACCGTATGGCGGCAAATGTACTGAATTTGCGTTTGGATGTGGATATTGTGACAAGGGAATTAGCGATGGTGGTAGTCCATACTCATTTAAGGGAATCGGTACTTTGCCGTCTTGTGGAGTTTTTCCAGCACCTGGACTTTGAGGTGTTGGTGGTTCATTTGGATTCTGTTGTGCTGATTGTTGTGACGTTGGTTGTTGAGCTGGAGCTGTCGGTGGGTTGGGTGTTTCTGTTTGTTGTGGATATGGTTGTGGCGGTACATACGAAGGCAAGGGACGGCGCATAAATTGTGGCGGAAACTGCGACTGCGGTAAAGGATACGGAAGCTGGTATAAAATGAAAAAAAAAGACATTTTTACATACATTATGTATTTTTTTTAATATTTTAAGTATTTAATTATGAAAAAATTTTTTTATTAGAAAAATTGTTTTGGGTTATTATCTAGTTGCATTAATGCTATATTTAAAATGATTTTATGAACGCCTTTATGAAAGATTATATTTACCTGTTGCCTTGGTCCTAAGCCTGGAGCAACCGGTTGTCCAAATCGCACAAACGGTGAGTATGCATATGGTCCAAAAGGATATTGTGCCAGGCGCGTTTCATGAATTGTAGGTTGTATCACTGGATAAGCACGGCTTGATATAAGATTTTCATCGGTGGTTATAAGTGCGTTATAAATTCTAGGGCGTCGCTGTGCGTAGCACAAGTAAGAGTTAAGTCCTATTATCAAAAATGCCAAAATCTAAAAATAATTAAAAGTTAGTGCGGTTGGTTCCATATAAAAATCGTGTAAATGTCGCACGATGCATCTATTCTCATAAAGTTTCTAATCACTAATTTAAATCCAACATTATATTAGCCGGAAGTTCAGGTTTGGATTTTCCATATTCAAAATCTACACCAACATTTCAAAATTGCGCTATAATACGTGTCGGCATATTAGTTACGCACATTGTTTACAAAAGCAGAGAAAAAGCTAAGTATAGTACTGGCTGCTGGCTGCTGGCATGCGGGAGTACCAAACACTTTAGTTCGACTGACCGGATAAATAGATGTTTTGTTGGTTTCGGTTGATGTTGATTAATTACTTTTTTATTTCTGTTTCTGTGCTCTGATTTTAACTTATTTTTATATTAACGAAGCAACTTATTTTGTATTGTATTTATGTCATTTGATGTCTATTCGAATTAATCAATCGTTAATTACAAATCTCAAGTAATTGGTATTTTATGGTTTTTGGAAGTGAGGCGCTTTGATATAGTTTTTGGGACAAAGTTTTAATTTGTCACCAATTCATTATCTAAAACTTTTGTTAGTGTCAAATTAATTAAATTTTAAAAATATTTCTTCTGATCTCAAATATCTCAAAGCGATCTCTCAAAGCAAAAAGCGTTTTTAATTGGATTAACGTTTTTACAAAACATAAACGAGTACTGTTTAAAATTATTTTTGTGTTTGCTGCCGAACTTTAAATTCACCTTACGAATATTAAACTTATTTAATAATCTCTTTTTACATTAATTTTTTAATATATCGCCTATAAAAATATTAGGAGTTTGGTCATAGGAATTGTAGGCGATAATAATGGTGCAGCATAATATGTTTTCATATGTATATGTATATATGTTTATTCTGCTCTGCATAGTAAACTTACTTAAATATTTTAATTAAATGGTCACACTTTACAATTAGTAAGAATACCATAATTAAAATTTAATTAACAAAAGCGAATTAAACAAAGTAGGAAAGAAAACCGAATAGATAAATTTAGATATAAAAATCGAACCTATTAACACAAAATACTTAAAAAGTATTAAAACTTTGATAACGTATTTTTAATTAATTATTTATTATTTATGTTTATATGTTTAAGAAATTTTTTGTTTAAAATATTTCTAATTCCCTGTTACCAACACTGGCAAAATAATATTCGATGTTGTTTGACTAAATTATCTATACCAACTGGGTATTGAAAACGCAACTAATTGCTATATACTTAGCGAGTTAATTGCGACAATGCGTTAATTGCAATAATGGAATAATATTTTAACGTTACGAACGCATGTCAATAATCATCTTTCATACCTAATATTTGGACGATGCTTATAGCGCATTTTCAGTCATTATAATATAGATAATTTTTATTATGTGCTTATTAATATAAGACTTTATAAAAAATACATGCACGTTAATTGATATTAATCATATTGAATTAATTTAGTCACGTTTTTCTTATGTTTGCATTTAAGATACACGATACTTTAAAATGTATAGCACTATTAGGTGGTAGTCAAACCACTTTATAGCCTATTTAAGGTAGTATTTACTTTAGAAAAATGGTTTTACTTTGATTATTAGCAACTAATTTCTTTAAGTAATAATAGTAATAATAGAAACATTATTAAATTACCAAAAAATGAAAGTTACTTAGCCAAAATTCTTACTTTTTACGTTCTCTGTAATTCAATAATTATTTATTTCTTTCTTGTCGTAAGATCCAATTGATTCCCGATGTGTCTTATATACATATAGAAAAGCTATAAGTTAAGGAACGAAATGATCTAACATACTTACAAACAAGGATACATTGATACAGGGCAGGAAGAGTTGGTGGTGACAAATTTCAGTAAAGTTCAAAAAAAAGAAATTTATGATGGACCACTGAATAATACTAGAAGCTTAATTAAGCACAAACGGTGATGTATTTAAATTAAATCAAAAGGGTATAAAAGATAGTGTGAAATAACTCTCTTCATTTATATGTAGTATATATAGTGTATATGTAGTAAATTGGCTGAAGGATCGGTAGTTCGAAATAGTCTAACAAGGCGCAATATATATTTATGATGGACCGCTGAATACTTTTGAGTGCTTGAGAGTAGGATGCAAAGTTCATGCAATGATTTAAGATAGAAGCATTGCTACGTCTTGCTTCCCTGATCTTCGTAATTAATTATGCACTATTATGCACTTTTCTTGGAGACATTCAAACAAGTGCTGACTACTTAACGCTTGCAAATATTGGATACTTGCATATCCTATTAGAAAGTTGCTTTTTGTAACTTTGTATGAAATACGGTTTAAAGCATCTTAAAGGCAAATTACTCTAAGTTCAACGTTAGATTTTAACTTTCGTCAGCCAGAATATACGCATTAACTCGTTCTTCCACATCCCACATAAGCGTTTTTCATCATGTCAATGTGCTGATTCAATTAAGCCATGTGCTTTTGCCGTTTCATGAAAACATATATATGTACCATATATATACAATAAATGAAGTCGTATGAAGTCGTATGTAAATACAAACATCAGCATGTGCCTGTCTCTCTGACAATGTACGTACGAGTACAACAAGTTCAAATGTTATGACAAGCCCATTTAACCTTCACAGCATGTAGCGCGGAATAAAGGCAACATGTAAGTAAGTAAATATGACAAGACTGCAATTGTTTTCCAGTGGATTGGTAACAAGTTTTACTTAAGTCCAAACAAAACACTGGACAGTGGATTAGAGAGAACAGTGAATGTTAAGCTAGCGAGTACGTTAAGCTTCGCGCTTTAAAAGTTGCATGCGAATAGTTCTTTTGTAGTTTTTTGTCCGGTCCGTATTTCGGCTCCGATAGCGTATTTCGTACTCGTATTAGTACGAATACATCAAGCTAACTTTTTTCGATTTTCTGTTATTTTTAATTCCTAAGCCCATTCATCATGGTAACTGCATAGGATATACACTCTGGGTTCAAATGTATTTATAGCTCTTAGTTCGGCCTTCGGTTGAGCAGTTGTAGTACAGAATACAGAACATTTGAGCTTCATAGAAAATCTAAGTAAACTTAGCCGAGTTCATGATTTATTGCCATTAAAAGAAGCCAAGTGAATGGCTAAAACAGTTCCATCAAAAAAATATTCAGAAATCTGTATTGTGATAGGTCTTACTCTGGCGCGTGCAATTCGAGGAGACTTTGAAGCTCAATTGGATTGAAGCTGCCTTTGGATTGTATCACATAATCGAAATTGGCGCAGAAGACATTCTAATGCCAATGAAGCTGAGCACACTGCGCCTAATAAACAAACCGTTTAAAAAAAATGGAAAAGAAAAAGGGAAGTGCGACGATTTATGAGGTTCCCATTGAATTTGCATGAAACCACCATGAGATAAAAATTTTAATCTTGCCACAGAGGTGATGCTTTTAATAAAGAGCATTACAAGATTTTCTTCATACAAAACCATTTGCATCTATAAAATTATGAAAGACAGAAATAGGGTACATCTTAACATCTCAACATCTTCAATCAGACCACCACTTCTTCACCGTCGCTTCAGCAACAACTCATCATCAAATTTTTAAACGTTTCATTTCGTTGAAGTCGTGTTTATTTGTTTTTCGTTAGTAATTTTTTAAAATTAATGAAATTGCATTTTTTATTATTTTTTTTTTTTTTCAACTACAATTTTTTGTTTTTGATCTCGCATGACTTCGTTTAAATTTTGTGTACTTGAGGTTTCTTGATCGTTTGATAGAAAAGTGAAAGTGTAACGAATTTTGACTGCGACTGCTTTGAACTGTGGTGAAATGTTATCCACATTTGTGAAGTTCGCTGTTGGTCCACGAAGTCAGAGTGTATGCCACACTCCATTATATCAAAACCGTTCTAAATACCTTTTAGAAAAAAATAAATAATAAATAAATTGTTTGATTTCTTCTGTTGCTTGGGAAAGTTTATCCATTCACGACAATGGATCGCATAAATCTTTGACAATAGCAAAAATAGTAACGATTAATCTTCGAATGAATCGTAACGATCACAAAGAAATTGGGACAGTTTGTGGGGTCAGTGAGTCAAAACAGTTTAAAAAGTATGACAACTGTGACAAGGAATATGCATTTAATTTAAAGACGTTTGAGGTAATCAAATACATATCGGAGGATCGTCAAAATAAATTGCAGCAAATCAGATATATGGAAAAGTATTATTTTATTTTAAAAATTTATTAAAAAATTAAAATAATTATTTAGTAGTGATTAATATTAATGGCATACGATAAATAATTCTTATAATTCTTCGGTGATATGTGTTGAGTAGATAAGTTAGAAACATATTTATAATCGAAAAACTTTACCTAAATTGAGCCACTGATTACTCTATTATGCCAGTAAGACTTCCAAGTAAGTTTTTGAACCATTTTAATAGCACGATGTGCTTTCTGCACGTTTCGGAATATGGTGTCAATAACAGCCTTATTCATATTTAGAATTTCGCAAGTATCACAAGAAGTTATTCGATAAAGTTTGGATACTAACTTCAACTTTGGTGAGAAGAAAGATCTATATATCAGTACTTGGTGGTGTTCTTTAGATCATTGCCTCTGAATGAAATGATCAAATATATTACAAATAAATAAATTGCAGACTAATGACTTAATAAATTAATCGAGAATTTTTGATTTTTTTGATTTAGAATTAGTTTGTCAAAGTAATCTCATTTAATTCTATTGGGACTGAGTTTCCCATTTTGTTGCCGTATTTTTCGGAGACGGTAAAACCATTTCGTAGGTTTAATTATCTAAAGGTACTATTCTAGGGAATAGTACCTAAATTGACCATAGATGCTTTCAAAAGTAGGTTACTAGTATGCTTCACATGCATATATGTTGCCCATGCGTGTCCTATGGCACAACAGAATTTTAAGCCCTATTAAAAATGGTTGAAATCTCTTCTGTCTTGGCATCTTAGTTTATC